CTGGCCCTTCCTCCAAATACAAAAAAGAGGTACCGAAGTCATACTACACATATTAAGACTAGGTTACCCTTGCGCTTGGCAAATTATTGATGACGAGGCTGCCAGGTTATGCAAACACTGCCACCCTGTTACATTACTTGCAGAATTGTGAACACACAATTTCTAAGACAGGAACCCCCCACCACAGCCACCGGGCTGGTAAAAAGGGTTTGCCACATGCTTACTCTGTGGCAGCTGGATCGCTTGCTCGCAATTCAGCCACTACGATAAGCATACAGTTCAAAGAAAACACACGAGTTAACTAGAAATAGTTGACACAGGTAGGGCCACTCCAGAGAAAAGGCCCGGGCGAATGTTTAATGTTTGAAAATAAATGTGCAGGACATCTGAGGTCATATAGCACTATGGTAATGTATTGCGTCGGAAAGGGCAAAGGAGAGTTAATGATTATGATAAAATGTGTTATCTATAGTGTATCTGTCACTGGAGAATGTATAGGAAAAATGTTTAAGGAAGAATAGAGATAGCTGTTGAAGAGTAAGAGAAAAATCTGGGGAGAGGGGATGGTGTTAAATTTCAAAGATTTGAAGTTGTTACAGGAAAGTATGGTAATGAAAAGGGGAAAGGAGGGAAGTAAATGAAGTAGGGCAGTGATTAATAAATGGGAAATGTTAAGGAGGCAGATTGATTAAATGAATTGTATCTGTGACTGGGGAAGGAATAGGGATAATAGGTTATATATGATAATAGGTTATATATGGTTGTATTAGTAGTAGGGATTAGGTATCTGGGGGTTGAGACAAAGGATCAGGAATAGGTGAAGGAATAGTGTCTGGGGATTCGATAGGGACAGTGGGGTCTTGGGAAGGATATTGTGATAAGAGAGATTCACGTGTATATCCAGGAGGGAGTGGGAGGGATAGTAGGGAAGGATGGGATTTTGGGGGAGGTTCAGTTTGGGTGGTATGGGCGGTTTGGGTAGTTGAGAGGATGAGACATCTTGGGAAGGGGTTGGAGGAACATAAGGGGGCAGAGCAAGTGAGTGAATGCAGTGTATCTGTGACTAGGGAAGGAGTAGGGACACTGATCAAGGAAAACAGAGGTGGCTGTTGGAGAACTAGGAGGAGAAGAATCCAGGGGTTGAGAAAGAGAGACTGGGGAAGATGGTGAAGCACTAGGAAAAATGTTTGGAGAGGAGGGGTCTGGAGAAGGACACTGTTGTGATAGAGAGGATTCGTGTGAGTATTCAAGTGGTAGGGAGGGTGGGGTATGTTGGGAGGGTGTAGGAGGAAAGGGAGTGGAGGGAACTTGGGAAGGAAGAGGATGAATATCTGGTAGAGAGGGTAGGGTATGTTGGGAGGGTGTAGGAGGAAGGTGGGTGGAGGGAACTCGGGAAGGATGATGAATATCTGCAAATACTTTAAATGTAGCAGGAGTAGGAACAGAGGGACTGGGGGTGGATGAGGGAGCGGACTGTTCCCATGGGTCATCTTTAGGAAGTTTCGGATGTCTTCAAGGGTTTCTGAAGGGGAATTTGGTATAGAGGACTGAGAAACAAAGGTTCTCTTATAAGGAGAAGAGGAGATGGATATCTGAGGAACATGAAGAGGAAGGTGTAGGAGAGAATGTAGTAGGAGAGTGTGGAGTGGAGCACTTAGGTTGTCTGGTACGACAGCTAAAGTGAGGAGGAGGTGTAGGTATCCGGGAAGTGGTAGAGATTGGAGTGTCTGGATTTAGGATGGAAAATGGATTTGACTGGTGGATAGGGTGAATAGACATAGGACGTAGATTTTGGGTATTGGGAACAGATTCCTGGGGAGAGGCAGAAATATCTTGTGTAGATGATGAGGGAGCAGAGCGCAGGACTGTTTTGGAATGAGTTAAGAGAGAAAAACCTCGTCGTCGTGCTTCCTGTCTGGCCTCTCGTAGAGTGAGGCCTAGTTTAAATCTGAGGACTGCTACCTCACATTCAAACTTATAGGCAGGGCAGCTCCTATAAAACACATTATGGGAGTCTACACAATTGGCACATGTACGTGACTGAGCAGGGCAATTTGGACGGTCATGACCAAGTTGGGCACATAAAGGGCATCGGGCTGTGGAGCGACAATGTTTGGCTGGGTGGCCAAAACGCCAAGATTTTTTACATTGACGAGGAAGGGGTTGATATTGTCGTATATGATAAGACAATCCAATAATATAAACCTCATGGGGGAGGTCTTGTCTATGGAAGCTAATTTTGGCAATATTGACATGAGATTTATGTTGGCCTCTAGGAGGAAGAGTGTAACACAGTACTGCCACTGCATCATAGTCATCAAGGCAAGAAAGTAGATCATTTTCACAGTCTGACAAGTCCTTGTTATACATGGAACAAGCATTTGGGGGTATAGAAACAGTTCCAGTACAAGTATTAAGAGTTGGGTGAGGTTCAGCAGGAATGGGTTTGCCAGTAAGGTCAGTTAGGGCAGATAGTGCACGAGCTTGAGCTTCAGATGTAACTGTGACAAGGCGTGAACGATTAGAGTGACTGCGAAAGGTAACCTTGCCTACTTGTTTCTGGAGGCACTGCTGAAAGACAACGGGGCTGTGGGGGGAATCACAAAGAATCGATCCCACTTGGCTGGGCCAAATAGAGTACCCGGAAGGTTTGCAGAAGTAGAGGTAGTAGAAGGACGAGGGCGAGAGGAAGATGGGGTGGTGTGGAGTGGTAGTTCTGCGGGGGGAGGACAATAAGGATGAAGAGTAGTAATAAGGGAAGAGGGGGTTGACATTGAAAAGGGTCGTGCAATAAGGGATGAAGAGGAGAATATTGGGGATAAGGAAAAGGTATTTTCCAGGGGTTGAGTAATAACCTGAATGGGTTTTTCAGAATGGTTAGAGTTGTTCGTAAGCGTCAAAGAGGGGGTATTAGCATCAGTGGTCGGAGCCATGGTCAAAGGAGGGGCAAGGGTCGGAAAACCTTCAAAATCAAATTCAGATAGGCTATTTGATGAAGGGGCAAGCCTTAATGTCTCTAGCAAGGGTAAGGAATCTTCATTACTGGCCATGGTGAGCCTGAATAAACTGGGGAAAAGAAATGGTCTACCCCTTAGGGTCCCCATAAGGGGTAAGGGCTAAGTAATTAACCAAGGAGGCTGTTCGTGACTGACACAAAACCAGCTTTTCATTATTTCAGCACAGCTTTCACACCTTAGGAATGGGATAGAAGAAGGGAGTAAAGAAGATACAGAAGAGGAAAGAAGAGAAGAAAGGACCAAGCAAAATTAGTTGAGGCAAGGGCTGAGGCCCAAGGTAGGGATAATCCTCTACATTGGGTCTCAGTCCCCGTCTCCTAAGCCCCCCACGACAACAACGGGCAAGGAATTGGTGGAGGGGGGTGATCCCTTATATTGGGCCCCAGTCCCCGTCTCCTAAGCCCCCCACGACAACAACGGGCAAGGAATTGGGGGAGAGGGGGTGATTCCTTATATTGGGCCCCAGTCTCCATCTCCTAAGCTTCCCACGACAACAACGGACAAGGAATTAGGGGGGGGGGTGATCCCTTATATTGGGCCCCAGTCCCCATCTCCTAAGCTTCCCACGACAACAACGGACAAGGAATTGGGGAGGGAGGGGCTTTCTGTAAAAAGCCTTTTTCTTATCCCATTGACCTCACTGCCAAGTGGTATTCATATGCTACAGGCTATGAGCCACTGGCCCTTCCTCCAAATACAAAAAGAGGTACTGAAGTCATACTACACAGATTAAGACTAGGTTACCCATGCGCTTGGCAAATTATTGATGACGAGACTGCCAGGTTATGCAAACACTTCCACCCTGTTACATTACTTGCAGAATTGTGAACACACAATTTCTAAGACAGGGACCACCCAGCACAGCCACTGGGCTGGTAAAAAGGGTTTGCCATATGCTTACTCCGTGGCATCTGGATCGCTTGCTCACAATTCAGCCACCACGATAAGCATACAGTTCAAAGAAAACACACGAGTTAACTAGAAATAGTTGACACAGGCAGGGCCACTCCAGAGAAAAGACCCGGGCGAAGCATGACCGCAAATCTAACTGAACTGAATCCCACTGACCACAGTGTTTATGACTAAGCACTTTAGCCATCTCCAGGTCTTGCATTTGGCACATGGAACCTTTTTTGTGACAGGAAAATAAGATACAATAATTCTTATTCCTTATAAATATGCTTTGCTATGCTGTTATTTTTAAGTTATATAATTGTTGTGATGTGTTAGGTACTTTAAATTTTTTTGGGGGGAGGGGGGGGTTTGTATGTTTCCATTGCCTTTTTGAGAAGTATCTCACTCGTATACTATCTTGAAGTTTTAAAGTTAGCACAGCTGTGAAGGTAAATAATATTAATAAAAAAGTACCACAATCTTGTGTATGCTATGGCTACTGGCAGAAAATAGGTATGTTGAATATTATGTTCTCAGGCTCCATGGATCAATAACCACAGGCCTATCAATTTACTTGTCTTCTATAAGTCTGGTAGCATTTTCTCCCATTTGAATTTTACTTCATTACTGTATCTGCAATATAATTATTAACACAAATTTAACTTCTCTATATGTGGACTAATTTTCTTTTTATCACAGACTGGCAAGCATAGTACAAACAATACATGTTTGTACCATATTTTGAGGCACATAACATGCTTTTTCTGACTCTTGATATATGGTATCTTACATGAGCATTTCTATTAGGGAAAAGGTTTTAAAAGATAATAAAGAAAAAAGGTATAAACAGGAAATCACTAATAATGATTGTAATAATGACAACTACTGTATTTATGATAATTATAATAATCAATGAATAATGATTATCAATAAACTGATTAAGTGCAGCAAAAATAAAAAAACATCAAATAGCACTCCTAACAACACCAGGATGATAACTGGCAAGATAACAATAAAAATAATAACAATAAGTGAACATGTGCTTTTCCTGAAAGAGTCATCCGAAGGTTTAAACTTTACTACCACCACTTCAAAGCAATAGAAAAATTTATTAATTTATCATACACATTCCATTTTGCAATATCAATTTGACACAATTTGCAATAACATATTACAGTAACTGCTCTTAACTTTAACAACTTTTTACCATGACTTCTCTTGAGGTCTGAATTAATAGCTAAGCACAATAGCAACCAAGATGCCTAAATAACAAAAATATTCATACAGACTTACGTGCAACTTAGAAACATCCGAATAGTCACGGAGCTGCCGCAATTATGCAGCTTGAAGCTTATAAGACCTTCTACATGTTAATATTCCAAACAGTGAAATCTTTGTACAGAAAGGCTGTCTTGCATTTGCTTAGGTATCAACAAGTTTGCATCTGAATAGTTTCTGAATTACTCTTATTAAAGGGTATAGTCTACACCATTCTGTATATTTTTATTATCTAAAAATCTGGATGACAAATTCAACCAATATAAAACATCAATATCACAAGTTAATAATGCTCAATAAGTCACCATGCTTATCTGTGCAATACAGGTGTACAGGAATAACAGTTATGCAAGTTGCAATTATTTAAAAACTCTGCTATGTATATGAAATAAAGCATTAATCTTTCTCTTTTTTCTGGGTCGGAGGTTTGTCTCTTCAGGAGAATTTGCAGTCTACAAGTTCCCAGAAAAAAACTAACAACATAACAAAAGCCTTGAATAAACCACAGAAACCTAAGTTATAGGTTATTCAAATATGACAGAGAATATTCTTTACCTTACTCCAACATTGAGGAGCTTCCTTTAATTGAAATGACTGACTTTCGAATGTCTGTTACATGCATACATGCTCCTTCACTCACTCCCTCACTAACACATTGATTTACTTTCACATATGCACACATCCTTTCTCTCATTCGTTTGCACATCCATACTCACTTGCATGTACACACACACTATAGAAAAATATATTTTCTAATATTTAATTAAGTAAAACCAAAAGTCTGCTATTTACAAATCACTTTTTTTAACTGGATTCTCAAAATTCAAACAGGGAGTAACTGAAAATCAATCTACCTTCCTATACTTATTGAAACAACTTTTACAATTCAGATATTATACCCAACAACTCTTAACAATCAGTAACAGTATTCACAAAGTCAGCCATAGCATTTCATCCTCTGTCATTATAAAGCATTTCAATTCTCCCAACTCTCCTGTTTTGTTGAGAGAGAGATAGAAAAAAAATAAAATAAGATGGAAAAAAATAAGAGATGGAAAAAAATAAGATAGAAAAAAATAAGATGGAAAAAAATAAGAGATAGAAAAACAATAATAGAAAAAAAATAAGAGAAAAAAGAGAGAAAGAGAAAGAGAGAGAGAAAAGAGAAACTGTGGCTGTAACGGCAATTATGGCTTAAAAAAACATTGGAGATTTCACCAAAATGAAAAAGCCTGAATGAAACTAAAATCTGTATATGCTGTTTATAAGCATTATGCCTTCCAACTTCGTTTTTTCATGGGGTTGGGGGTGGGGGTGGGGGGGGGGGGGAGCAAGTTGCATACATTAATACCATAGGAAAAGAGAAAGGACAGGAGAGAGGGAGAGAGAAAAAAAAGAAAGAGACATAATGTAAGAAAGTGAGTGAAAAAAGAGGGGAAAAAAAGTTGACTTTTTGAGCATGTATCTGAATTCTATCATTTCAAACATGTTAGCTGAAACATGATGCAATTCTGAGTGGGTAACAAAGAAATCAAAATAAAGACAAAAATAAAAGTAATAATGAAAAAAGGTCAATAATGATAACAATAATAATATTAAGTTATGATAATAATAAAACAAAAAGAACAAGACCCATAAAAGGAGACAGTGTTTTACTTTCTCAGGCAACTGGTTAAGAGCCCTTAACCCACTCATGGATGAAAATACAAGAATTTCTAAATAGATCTGTGTACCTAACTTACAAATAAGAAAAAATATGTTAGAGCAATCTAAACGCACAGAAAAAAGTAATATCACTCGTGTTTTTTATGTCAGACTCATTAACCGTCCAACTCTGAAACAATCTAACTGAAAGGAAATGAAAACCTAAAAGCCTTTACAGCCACAGACTATTCATTGGCGTGACCATGCGTGGAACCCTAGAGCAGTGATACAGAGGTACTTTAATTGCTTCACATCACCGGAAAAAGAAAGTTTCATTACATCCAACTACTGACAAGTTATCAAACGTTCGGAACAGGATGTGCGAGAACCAAAAACTACCAATAC